AAAGAAATTTGCCTTCGTACATAATTAACTAATCGCGGATGAACACTTTCTAGACGTTTTGCCGACGAGCATTAATCGTTAAAAGCTGAAAGTGCAGATGATATTAGATAACGTAGTGCGCTAGAATTGGAAAAGAAAGTCTGACATTTGAAAGGGAAGGAAAGTATAAATGTTGAAAGATGATTTTTGAAGGGACAAAGTATGGTTAGGTTGCCCATTGAAATCCAGTCTCGACAAATCCCTTTCACATCGCCCGGCGAAATAATAGGCGAAGCGCAGGGGAAATTCGAGGAAAACTCACCTTTTCAAGAAGATTGGCGATGTGATAAGAGACGGTGGCCATTTTTGCAGTTTCGTGTTTTCGCCGGTATAATCGTGAGAGATGTGCAAAGAGAGTAAAAGCCCCCGAGGTGGCCTCCGCAAGACAATGTGTGCGAGAGAGAGAGAGAGAGAGAGAGAGAGAGAGAGTGAGTGAGACAAATCAGACAACACCAATACTTTCTCTCTGCGCCTGATTTTCTTTCTCTCTTTCGTTCCTCCCGCGTCCCTACGCGCACGCTTTAACAACGCCGCCGCCGTAGATACAATCCCGAGAGAAGTGCGAGTGCCAACTCCTCTTTCCTCGCACTTAAAAACTCCTCGTGAGAGAGAATCGAGAGAGTAAGACGATACACGCGATCAGCCGACGCTCGCGACTTCACGGTAATTTCATCGAGCGATGGATCCCCGCCGACATTTCCATTCTCATCAACCGCACAATTGCCAGCCGCGCGCGCACACACGAATAAACTAGCACAAGAAGCACCTCGGACTCCGAACTCACCAGGCGCGTTTAGTCTATCTGCCGTATCGTTACGTCGGTGTACCGTCCCTCCCCACCCCACCCCTCCACCCCCTTTTTTTGGCGAATTGGTAGTGGTGATGTTTGTGGTAGTGGTGGTAGCGGCGGTGGCGGCGGCGGCTGTCGAGGGACGGGGGACACGCACGCACGCACGTACACACTAATCAGCGCTCGGCACGGCGTTCTGGGGTAAAAATCATTTCAATATGGCCGGCTTCGTTTAAACGCCACACTTCCCTAGGCTTTTTGCACACACGTGTGCGCCCGCTAATGTGTCAATTGTGTAAACGGGGAAGTAACCGGATATTCGAAGGACTCTTTAGCATTTGAAGGGACGATCGAACGCGATGATTCGCCATCATTGTGATTCTACCACTCAAGTTGACGATCTACGGTCGTTAAGCAACTTCTCCGCAAGTTTTCGCGAACAGTTTTGCGGAGACGACGACCCGTCCGCCGGCACGTGCACCACCTCCGTCGAATCGATTGGGCCTGATTTTTCCATTATGAACTTGAAATGAGCGAGAGGACACGATGTTATATTATCAAAGATTTTTCAGTGAAAGCTGTTGGAAGCTCAAGTCGTCAAGCGCCTACCGTATCTTTGCCGACCTAATATTACGGATCGCTTCAGGCTTATAGAATATGCCCGAAGAGTATTTTTTATTAATATGAATTATTGCGTTAAATATTAGACATTACTACGTTACTACGACTTGCTAGTCCTTTCATGTCTTATAAATGCCTACGAATCTCATGGATTATAGGGGGTGGGTAGGCAATGCCTTTATGTAACCATAATGCATAAGGAGAGCAAAAGTTTCGTTTTTTATTCGTTGGACAATAATTATTTCGCCGCTTGTTTGTAAAAGACGATATAACAGGGACTTCCAGGGACGCCCAACTAATTAAAGGGACATCCTTCCTTAACATTACAAATGACTACGACTATGACTCTTTGAAGTAAAATGAAGTAAAACGATCGTCGAGTGCAACATGTACGAGTCCGCGCACTGTAATAGTCACGATTTTCCATGATAAATAATATTATCGAGTGGAGTGAAACGTATGCGTGCCCTTGAAAAAAGTTGTTGCCATTTGCACAGTTTCGACGTCTCACCACAGAAGCTCAAACAATAAATAATAGCGCTCGATAAAACAAACAAAACACACGAGTGATGCTGCTGTCAGAAATTATCAGCAGCCGATATTTTATTAGGATAATCAAAATATGCACATTGCAGAACCATTGGTTTGGCACAAATTATCAAGCTTCCCTTCACGGATAGATAATTAATTATATATGTACATCGTCGGCATATTAGGCAAAAATTTCTATAATTCATATTGTTGGCAATAATACTTTTAGCTCAAGAATTACGAATATAAACTCGATAATAGAGCGTTAAATAGAATTTTATCAGATACGGTGAATTCAATACATACATATATATGATTAATTTGCCATGTTCTTTTTCTTATTTTTTTTTTTTTTTTTTTTGTATAAAGAAAAAATACTTTAAGTAATACATATGTGTGTGTGTGTGTGTGTGTGTGTGTGTGTGTATATATATATATATATATATTATATTTTTGGAATAAAATCTCTAAATTCGAAATTTCTAATCATCTAAATCTGCGTTAAGCTACATTTCTATAAAAATTACAAAACGATAAATATACAGCAAAATATATAATTTTTTTTTTTTTTATAAACACATTGGCTTAATTCATAATGAGAACGTGAATGTACGTTAACTCGTAACGCTGACCCCCATAACCCGAGTACACGAATATAATATAAATATATATATGAACAAAATATTAAAATATGAAACTTTCTACGCGCTGCTAAGGAAGAAAGTTAATCCACTTGCTCGTTCGATTATCAATAATCGTACCGTAATTGTCATCAGCTAGTAAGGCTATAATAATTTTGTAGTGTACTCTTATTTATTATTTAATTATTTAATTATTTATTTAGCTGTCCTTTAGCTGGGAATTATGATCGTAATGAGAAACGCAGAAATTCGCGATTAATTGAAAATCAACAGGATTAATAGTCCGTTGAAAGTGATACTTTCTAAATAAATGCGAACTTTTTAAAATTATTTATCATGCAATCCGATAAAACTATATTTATTATTTAATTTACCAATATCGAATACACCACTGAAACATTCCATCGCCCATATTTCCGATCGAACGAAGCATCGCGCGCACTTTACTACACGCCGATAGAT